AGAATATTTATAGACTTAGAATTTAAATATAATGAGATAATTAAATAAAAATAATTCAAAATTATATGATAAATTATGTGATAAATTATAGAGTGAAAGAAAGAGAGGTTTTTTATAACTAAAAAAAAATTATTAAATTAAAGAAATTTATGTTACTATGGTAACAATATATAAGATATATATATATAATATATAATATATAAAGTATAAGATATTAGAGTATGATCTTTGTAATAATTATATTTGCTACTATTAAGTTATAAAATTATTTTATTAATAGTTATAAATAAGATAAAATATAATATAAACAGTTTTAATTTTATAATTTATAATTATTTTTATTATTTAAAAATATTTAAATCTGAAGAGAAATTATAAAACAGATAGATCTTATTTATAATGAAAGAAATAAATACAAAAAGTAAATAAATTAATAATAAATCTATTTTTAAAATATATATAGTTTAACAAAATTAATTAACTTAATTTGTATCTTCAAAGAATAACTAATTATAATTTAATAAATAATAATAATTATAAATATGATAAATTAAATATAAATAATAATAAATGAAGAATGAGTAAAAATAATAAAAAAAATATTAATAATTATATGATTAAAAATATTAATAATCTAAATTAATAATTATAATATATATAGTAATTATCTATATAACAATATATTAAATCTAATATATTAAATATGTAAATAATTATCTGTATATTCAGAATAAAATTAATCTTTATAAAATATAATAAAGAAATTAATTTGTTATACAGATAGTGCAAAATAAAGATCTAAGCTAAAGAGAGATAATCTAATTAAAATTATTACAAAATTAAAAAGAATAAGTAATTGTTTATATAAGTATTACTTTAAAATTAAATAAATAAAAATATAGAGTTACTGAAAAAAAAGTACTAGTAATAATATAGGCTATTAGATAATTTTACTATTATATACTTAAAACTATATTTGAAATAATAATTGATTACAATATCTTGAGATGATTATTCAAAAATTAACAAAGTCATTCTGTTAAAATAAAAATAGTATTATAACTTAATCACAATTCTCTGATTAGCTATTATAATTGATTATAATTCTTTGATTAGCTGTTACAAGTTATAATTAGTTGAAATGGTATCTTTATGCTAGAATAAATCAATAGATAACTATTTTTTTAAAAATAAAAAAAGAACTTTATTTTTTTGTTTTGAATTATATATTATATTTTGATTATACAATTTGATTAATTTCATAATTATAGTACTAATAATTATAAAATATATTATTTTTGAATTGTATTACTTACACAAATAAATAGAGTTATAAATATAATGATTTTTATTAAATAATAACATATCCTAAAATTTTGCTAATTAAATAGCTTTTTATGAAAAATTTTTTGCTAAATAATTCTGATAATGAAGTAACTTCAAATTTTCTAATATTATTTTTATTTTTTTTATTAAGATAATAAGCTTTGATAGAATTAAAATATCAATATTATGAATACTATATCAAAAGAAAAATCATGTAACTGTTTCATAACGATAAGTAAAATTTTAATTTTGATTGGTTTGTGTTACTAGCACAAATAAGTAAATTCTCATATTTACAAAACATGACACAATGTTGTTACACATGCAAATTGGCGGCGTTACTTTTTGTGGCACATGTATCACGATAAAAATGAAGCCATTTTAGTTCTGTAAGCTAAGTTTTTACAATTGAAAAATGTCAAAATTAACAAAAATTTATTGAAGGAAGAAATCAAATCTGTTTCCTCAATAAATTTTTAATATTACTGGTTCATCAAGTTCAGATAAAGCAAATAGAAGCTGAGATTTTCAAGAAAAATTCAGAGAAAAAAAGATTCCTTAACTGCAATTAATGACCAAAGATAGCGAAAAAAAGATCCAGAACAATGACCGCCAATGAAGCTATAAATGATCAATTGGATTGGACTCTACCAACATCGTCTTTATCGATTCCAACAACAAATGTAAATTTAAATACAAATATAAATGAAAGCAACCGTAACTTATCCGCAGCAACTTATTCGGATCAAGTAGAATGTCATTTAATATCATCATCCTTATTTATTACGGCAAAAAGCACAACTAAAATCAAACCGTGAACCAAAAACAAATGAAACAACAGTGGATGATTTGTTGGTCCTACTTCACGATATTTGAAAAAATAAAATTCTCGCAAGAATTGCGAGATAAATTTCTATATAAAAAATCCTGGACTTTATTTATCATATAGGTTTGAGTACTGAAAAAGATTATAGTCAAGCTTTGAATATTATCAAAAATTGACATATTTAATTGGAGAATTATATAATCACGAGAATTGGATAAAAATGGATAAAAAAAAGTCATTCGAGTATTATTCGAAAGCAGCAGAGTCAGGACACCTTAATTCGCAATATAATCTTGCGATCTATTACGAAAATGGAGAAGAAACAATCAAAGATGAATAAAAAGCATTTGAGTGGTACTTGAAAGCAGCAGAGTCAGGACACCTTAATGCGCAAAATAATCTTGCGATCTGGTACGAAAATGGAAAAGGAACAATCAAAGATGAACAAAAAGCATTCGAGTGGTACTTGAAAGCAGCAGAGTCAGGACACCTTAATGCGCAATATAATCTTGCGATCTGTTACAAAAATGGAAAAGGAACAATCAAAGATATACAAAAAGCCTTCGAGTGGTACTTAAAAGCAGCAGAGTCTGGCGAACTTAAGGTGAAGGAACAATAAAAGATGAACAAAAAGCATTTGAGTGGTACTTGAAAGCAGCAGAGTTAGGACACCTTAATGCGCAAAATAAACTTGCGACCTGTTACGAAAATGGAAAAGGAACAATCATAGATGTACAAAAAGCATTTGAGTGGTACTTGAAAGCAGCAAAGTCAGGACACCTTAATGCGCAATATAAACTTGCGATCTAACTCGAAAATGGAGAGGGAACAATCAAAGATGAACAAAAAGCATTTGAGTAGTACTTGAAAGCAGCAGAGTCAGGAAACCGTGATGCGCAATATAAGCTTTCGTTCTGTTACGCAAATAGAAAACGAACAATCAATGATGAGCGAATAGCATTCGAGAGGTACTTGATAGCAGCAGAGTCTGGCGAGCTTAATGCGCAATATAATCTTGCGATCTGTTACGAAAATGGAGAAGGAACAATCAAAAATGAACAAAAAGCATTTGAGTGGTACTTGAAAGCAGCAGAGTCAGGACACCTTAATGCACAATATAATCTTGCGAACTGTTACGCAAATGGAGAAGGAACAATCAAAGATGAACAAAAAGCAATTGAGTGGTACTTGAATGCAGCAGAGTCGGGACACTCTGATGCGCAATATAATCTTGCCATATCATACGATAAGCTCAAAATAGAAAAAGATGAAAATAATGTATTAGAGTTGCTTTTAAAATCAGCTAATTCCGGTGATGAAAGAAGTCAATTTTTATTAAGATATAGCTATCAAAGAAATTTAATTTCAATTGATATGGGAGAAGCTTTATTCAAACACCTTTTAACCTCGTCTAAAGATGGTAGTTCTCATTTCTATTTTCGACTTAGGCAATGCTATGAATATGGAGAAGGGATAAATAAAGATGATAAGGAAGCATTTTATTGGTACCTAAGAGCTGCAGAGTCCGGATACAATAAGGCTTAATTTAATCTTGGAAAATTCTATCAATATGGAATCGGTATTTCGAAAAATCTCGATTTAGCGTTGAAGTGCTGTAAAAAATGGACATGATCGAGCTCCCGAAATAGTTGAATCTTTTGATTTTGAAGAAATTTATTCTAATTAATAATTTTATCATAATTCGTTTAAGAATATTTAATCTTTTCCATGTTAATTGAATTTTAAATTTTTATTATTACATATACTATGTATAATATTTATTTATTATTATATTACTATCGTTATATTGTTTTTAAGGATCAATTTCAAAATGCATTACGCGTTGATTATATTTATAGAATAATTTTTATTTATAGTTAATGTTTTCCCCTAAATTTACAATTTGCCATGTTCTTTTGTATAACGGATTACTATATTATAAATTAGTTTTATAAAAAATTTTTATCGTTATTTTCATCAAAAATTACAGATTTTACTTTGTTTTGTTATACACCATACCTCCATAAAGCACACCCTCAGGAACAGCAAAAATTTCCTATGCTTTATAATAACTGGGTGTATAGATCGTATATTTGGTTGCTTTTTGGAAAAAGAAAGTCAAAGATTCTTTATTATTCTCAATACATATACATCTATTAAATTGTGGGTGTTAAGATTAACGTTAACATTTATTGATATACGCTCGCATCACCACTCAACTGATATTTGTATGGACTCCAAAATAAACTGGTATTTCTTCCTGGACAATTTCTTCACGGATTGAAAGCGATTTCTTGTACCCGAATAATTAGATTTTAATATTTTAATTTTCTTACAATGGAGGCTTAGCGATAAAGTAAGCGAAATAATGGATTTAGTCTTCTTTAAAAACGCCACATAATTTTTCATAAACTGAAATTTCACAATTTATTTGGTAAGCTTTATGAAAACACTTAATTGCCGCATGAACATCCACCGGGGTGCCATATCCCTGTTCATAGCATTCTCCAAGCATCGTATTCCGAACACACAAATTAAACCAATAAAACGCTTTTCTCTCGTCACATTCCACCCCATCCCCATCCAAATAAAATGATCCTAGATAATACTGTGCTTCGGAAGCATTAGCATACGCAGCTTTCCTAAACCAATACACCGCTTTTTCCATATCTTGGTCGGTGCCAAGCCCAAAATAATATAGACTCCCAACATTTGACTGCCCATCAATATTTCCCAATTCAGCGGCTTTCAGATAATTTTCGAATGCTTTGGACATATCTGACTCAATTCCATGGCCGCTTTCGTAACAAACACCCAGATCATTTAAAGATTGTATGTGTCCGTTTTCAGCGGCTTTTTCAAACCATTCGAATGCAGATTTGTGCGCTTTTTCGGTGAAGACTTTCCATCGATATGAAACAGCAAGACTGTAGGCGAGTGTGGGTGAGTCGTAACGATGTTCCCAGACCGCTTTTAATATTAAGTCGTTATCAATATTTTCTTCTTGTTTCCATTTTTTTATTTTTTCTATGAATTTATCCGTGAATTCATAAGAGTTATTTATTTCGTCAGCAATATTTTGAAGTTTTTGGACTATTGATAATTCTTTCGTCATTTTCAAAAAGTTGTCGATCTTTATACATGTAAGGTGAAACATTCGTACAAACAGTCATTTTATCGTTTTATTGTTCATATTTATCTTCACGTGCGTGACTTGTGGTTATCGTTACTAATACATGTATAATTTATGCACTAGTTCAATTACTATTGCGATAACCAAATGATCACGATCAGCAATGTAGCTCACGAATTTTAGATAAAAATATATCATTTTATTCAGCGAAAGTAGGGCTATATTTTAATATCAGGTTGGATATCCATTTGCATTAATTACAACTTGCACTCTTCTCAGCATATTTTCAATCAAACTTTTAAAAATTTCTGGTTCGATTTCATCCCATTCCTCTGCGAGTGCATCTATCAATTCTTGTGGATTTTTGATGCATTGCTTGTGCACAAATTCGTATTTTCAAAAACATCCCATAAATGCTCAATTGGATTAGAACAAGACTCTGGGCAGGTCATGGAAGTGAAGTTATTAGATCTCTCTCTCCATTCATCAACCTGATAATTTCTGTGAACTGACACATTATCATCTTGAAAAAGATGAACAGAACTAGCTGGTAGTCCATCTGAAAACAGTTCAAGATGCTGTTCAAGCATTTCTATATATTTTTGGCCTATTATTGCACCTTTAATTTTGAATGCATTTTGAGTAAAACATCTCCATATCATTACTCCCCAATTACCCGATTTCATATTAGAAAGATCATATTTTTCATGTGTTCAACATCAATGAATATTAAATATCTTGATTCATCACTCCAAACTACTAATTCCCATTCAAGAATCCAATCTTTTCACTCTAGACACCATTTAAATCATTTTTGATGGTTTTCCCTCAGATATAAAAGATTTTCTTAGACCAGCCCGTCCATTTTTCATAAAGATTACGATGTATGATTTTAGAATCAACCAAAAGTTCCAGAGTAGTATTGAATTTTCGGTAATTTTGTCAATTACTTGTTGCCAGTTTTCTTTTACAATACAATACTAATGATCTACCGGATCGGACAGCAGCTGTATGAACTGTAGATTTGGGTCGTCCTAGAGTTTCTCCGATTTCTTTTTCGGAAAAACCACACTTCCAAGCACCGACTATCTCGCCATGCTCAAAATTCGTAAGTTGGCAATTTCTGCGAGTATCGGTTGGGTTTGACATATTTTTTTATGTCATTTGAAAGTTTACGATTTCAGCTATTAACGTCTGTGTGTTGCGCAAATAACCATCCCTTTTATTTATGCCGATTCTCCACTAAACGCTAAGAAAAAAATCTTAATAAGCAGAATATTGAGTTTGATTCATTACTTGGTAATTTTTTAAATGAAATCTTGATTAATGAAACTATGATAGAACGTACATTTATATCATGATCCGTCATTGTTAACAAAAAAATATCGATATTTACCATCATCCTTAAGATGTATGCGTTACGCCGATATATAAATAAAGTACAAAAATTTTTTTTGAAACAAAATAAGTTTTAAAGAAATAAAATAAACAAAATTTGTAATCTGTTTTATTTTTAAATTTTTTTAGTCTGCATTCATTCTATTTGTAAAACAAAAAAGGCTTGTCTTATCTTTTATCAAAAAACCATCACACACAAAGATTTTAATATAATCTTTTGAAATTTATCATATAGGCCGCTGTACAAATTCAGTAAGCTATTGCAATAATAACGAAAGTTTTATTTTTCGTTAAGTATTTAATTAGGAATGAAAACAAAACCTAGATATTACGTCCTTTAAGTCATAGTAAATACTAGAATAAAAAATTATAAAGATGACATGCAAGATTTGTAGTGATTTTTTATTAGGTGTTCTACTGTGCAAATACGTAAGTAAATACAAAATTTGACCTGTCTACTTAAAATAAGCTACTCATCTTTGAAAACTCATAGAAATTTTCACCTCAATAAATTTTTCATTATTGTTATTCATTAGTAATCAATATTTCAACTACATGTATTTATTTGATTCAATAAAATTGTCTCTGTTCCGAGGTCTAATTTTTTCAAGATCAAAAAATAGGGAATGAAATTTTAAAAGTTGAGAATCCGTAGTTATTAAAGAAAAAACTTACGTTAGATGAATTTTGGGATTAAATCTGAACTTAGGCTCATTTTCAATATCAATATCCATATCGAGTTCAAGCACTCGTGAGATATATGACTATAATAAAATAAACACGCATAAACAGCAAGCATACTAATATAAGAGAAAATTTGTAATCAATTAATACTTATTAATACATACAGTTATATTTGATAAATTTTACCTTTATTTGCTTCATTTTGATCATATATATTGACATTTGTAGATTTGGCACCAATATCTATTCCATATTCAGTGGTCACATACAAGTGTGCTAGAGTTGTTTGTAAGCATATATTTTAATAAAATTATGTGTTGATTTGCTGAATAAATAATGATAAAATTAAATAGTGATTTTACCTCCATCATTTGGAATATACAACCTGACACTTGTAGCGCCTAAATACAAATAATTAATATATACATGTACGAATGTCAAGATGAGTACACATCGGTATTTAGAAATAGAATATACGTACCTAAATTAATTAATTTTTTAGTTAAGATTCGACTAGTGTAAATTGCATTTGAATGGATCTTTTGTTTTTTGCTTTTATTACATGTAACACTCATTTCATCTAATCTCTGCATTTCTAGTTCAAGACAATTAAGAATTTCTTCTTCTGTCTTGAGACTTCTTAATGAGCTGCAGTACTGATTAAGTAAAGTACTTGGCTTGTTATTTGTATTGTCAATGCAATGTGGTTTGAAGATAAATCTGAAGAAATTATAAAGTTCCTCAGTAGTTGGTCTATTTTTTGGAATAGAATCCCAACATTTTTCAATAATGAATTTACACCAATTGGGAACATGTTTTGGTATCGTAGGTCGTACTCCTCCACAGATATCTATTGCAAGATGTGCATCATGACTCCGTTCACCAAATGGCGGTTCACCCGTTACGATCTCGTACATAATCATCGCAAAACTATAAACGTCTGCAGTTTTAGTGTAAACCTGTCCTCTTAAAACTTCTGGACTAATGTAAGGAAGTACCCCGTAGATTTCTTGTTCTGGTTTATTGATATCTGCTGGTCCGGTAAGTCCAAAATCGGCAATTTGAGCATCATAATAGATCAATATATTTCCGGGGTGAAAGTCACGATGCACGAATCCTTTATCGTGTATTCTACGCAACCCTGAGATAATAAGATATAAGTGTTTTAATTTCTCATTCCAAGTCAACTTCTCGTAATTGGAATTAATATATTTGCGGAGATCGCCATCTTTCGCGTAATCCATTACTATGGAGTATTCACTTGTAACCGAGTTTTTAGTTATTCCATAATATTCATAATAACCACTGCACTGGATAGCAGACTGAATCTATTATGAAAGCATTTGGAATTAAAAAAGAAAAAAACGTGTTTTTACACTTCAGAAAAAGATTATACCTCCGCTATAAACTTTGGTGTAATTTTTGAGTTATGTATTTGTTTCAACACAACTTCGTGATTTCTATCTCGTTTAAATTTATTTTCGCCATGATTCCACTCCCTTTTTAATGGTCCGTCCAACCAGATTGCTTTATATATTGTCCCAAAACCACCTTTTGCATGAAAGTTAACATCGATAATTCTTTCAAAAGGTATCCATTCAAAAAATGTGTTAATTTTCGCGCACTCATTTATTAAGTTGTCGAGAAATTGATTTTCGCTAGACCATTCAGGATTAAGTAGTGGATAATGATAATCGAAACATTTATGGCAGTAAATATCTCTTTGACAATTGTTACAATTATTGCAATCATGAGTATTGTGGTCTGGGCATTCTCTACAGTATTTCTTTTCTCGACAACGAACGCATTTACTACAATGAGTATTGAAATTCTCCAATGCCATTTGGAATTCACACCTATCAAATGAGTGACGATTGTATTTAATATATAAATTTACTGGGTTTACTTTAAAAAGAAACAAAATGATGTTCTATTTTTATGCTTTGTCGTTATAGAATTCCTCCGTGTTTGATTGTTTTTACGTTACGTAACATGTAAGAATTTTACACCAGCAATGACCCTCCAGGTTAGGTTAGACCATAAATATGGCGTACATTCAAAAGTAATTAACTACCAGGCATCTTTGAACTTTTACAGCTTGGATGACTAATAGAAAATACTCAGTGTGACAGAGTTTTTTACTAATTATTCCAATCGTACCGTTATAACGAAATTTTATTTTATACGAGCAGGCTAGTCACATGAAAATAGAGTATATTAACCAAATTCATTGATCGATTTATGCCGAAGCTACAAAAAAACGCGTTTTTCATCCTGATCCCGCAATTATAACTCCGTAATTTGTACAATAGGACTTGAACCACATATCACAAAACAAATAATAAATACAGAGTACACGTATAACAATTTTCATTTCTAAGGCATGCGTCTTACAAACATTTCATCTTGTCATTTATCAATTAGAAACTTACGGCAGATATAGTAATAATACAATGAAGATGTTCATGTTCATAAAGCACGCGTTTCAAGATTTTATCTATCTCATCTCAAAATATTTCATCATTCATAATCCTAAATTATGTTTTTCGATGTAACACACTCCATACTAATACAGGTAGAAATCCTTATTTGTGAGACGATTTATGATAGAATAATATAAAAGAGAGATACTGTAATTTTATTTCTAATCCTCTTCTAATTAAGGGATTAAGGGGTCATAATGATAATTGGATAAAGTGTGAATTAATACAGGATTGGATTAGCATAATATATAAATTCCAATTCAAATTTTTAGTTAATGATTATACAAAATACATGTTATCATTAGATTCAGACTAAGAATACAAAATACAAATTTAAAAAAAAGAGTAAAAACAGTATTAAAAAAGTCTTTATTAGTGATAATAATACATATTGTATTCTTGCGAAATAGGTATTAT